CACTAAAACACTGCTTGCCATTTTCATACCTTTATTACGTTTTTTTTTCTTTTTACAATTTTAGACTACGTTTTCATAAATCATTAAAGCAATAAAAATGTCTATATTCTGACATAAAGCTTTGCCTGATAGTTAATCAAATGACGTATAAACAAATAATGTGTGTAAGTTGTCATCTAATTTATTTATGTAAATATATTAATAAATATTATAGGGCAACATAAAACTATTTTTCTCCGTGCATATACTTATAGGTTACAGTAGAAGACAAGGTGTAATACGTCATTGTAATAAGTGGTTCTTGTTATTAATAACCATCGACAGACGTCACTTACTATAAAAAAATTCAATAATTTTAATTTTTGTAATAACATTGAGAAGAACAGTTGGTCAGTTTGCAAGAAGGTGATAATAGTAAATTTACAATTCATTTTGTTCTTTTGGTTTTACCTAAATTCTTTAATTGTAACAAAAATTAGTAAAATACAAATTGGTAAGATTTCGAAAACATAATTTTAGGTTAAACTCTTTCACAGCATATTATTCAGATTTATCAAATTTATAATACATTACACTTTGCTGTATGTGAAAAATATTTTGTGATCCAACTGATGTACAATATCATGCAAGTTTCGTTCAATAAGGTTTCAAAAGAAGCGAATTCTCATTCATTCAGAGTTTGAGAAAAATATTACGCACAACGAAAGTTTTACAAAACGTACGTCTTCAATACATTCAGTTAAATAAAAATTGTTTTATAAAATAACATTTGAACCTGTCTGTAGGTTTGGCTTGCGAGTTTTCCGCTCCTACATGTATTACATCTTTTAAATAAACGTTAATAACATGGAAACGCATCGTTCTCATAGTCCACTAAAGAAGACAGAGGAAAAGGGGTAGGGTGACGATAAGTACATCAATAACCTAAGAAACACACGTAACATTTTACTGAGTCACGAAGTGCATGCATTGTAAACAGTAGAAAGAACAAAATTCCAGTAAAATAGTTTCTTTGTTTTTTATAAACCGTGATTAAATACAAAAATATGTATATATATATATATATATATTGACTCACGGGTTTGTTTTGGTATTCTTCGAACGGACTTCTCCTCCTTAATTGGCGGGCGACCCCGGAACCTGCCGGCATCTAATCCCGTCAGCCACAGGCTAAGCCCGAGAATCAGGCACAAGATGATTGTGGTCAGTCTAAACATGGCACAATCTCAGTGAACCAAATAGAATCACAATAACTGTTCTGTCTGCTGGACACAAGTGTAATTGGCAATTATGGAGGTAGTAAAAACCAGTGACAAATTAGTCCTTCGTGTCTATAGGACATGACGCTTTAATGAGGGTGGGGCTCGATTACTAGGAATACACGTGCTGCTAGTTCTCTTTTCTATCTAAATCAGTGAATGATAACCTACAGGACGAGTACTGTTAACTGACTGGCCGTGAATGAAGAGCTCTTGTTGCTCGGGTGAATTAAGTAGACGGTAGCACGAGAGTGACGTAACTAGATATAGTGTGTTGGACGCCTGGCGGCCAGCTTGTGAAGTTAATGAGGCGGGAATTTTGATTAAAATGAAAAGAGTGATTTTGCAGCAAGAAATTCATAGTCTTGATTATATCGTATGATGTCATTTTTTAATGAGCGTGATTAGAGACGTATGATATGTCTCTGTTTATGTTTGGTCTGTTTGATATACAGTTACTAAATAATATCAAAGCACACAACTACAAATATACAATTCTTGAAGATCTCAAGGAGAAAAACATTAGTTTTGGTTGTAGAGTAACAAATACAAATGGAAGTCATCTTCTGGATATTATGTAAGATACAGACACATTTCCACTAAATGATACAACATCAACACATACCAGTAACTGTCATTAAACCAGTGACATACTGGATCCCTGTATGTGCTCTACATGTGTTCTTCCATCGCTGACAGCGACCATTTACCGATTTCTGGTGTCTTTGATCTCGCACCAAACAAAGGCAAACCAAAATTCTCATAAAAATACACCTACAAAAATCTAAAGAAGAATTAAATGTACTTATTCAAAACGAACCTCTCCAACAAGCAAAAACCAATCAAGAAATAGACTGCTTCTGCTCAACAGTCTCGTAGAGCCTCAAAAACACAGCTGGAAAATACATCCCAAGAATAAAAAACTCCAACAATTACACAAGTTGAATACCACACATGCTACAAAGAGACAAAATACAAGAACGCAAAAATTAATACGAGAATATATTATAACAAAATATCACCAAATAAAAACTAAGACGAGAATATATTATAACAAAATATCACCAAACAAAATCTAAGACGAGAATACATGATTACAAGAGATCACCAAACAAAATCTAAGACGAAAATACATGATAACAAGAGATCACCAGACAAAACTAAGACGAGAATACATGATAACAAGAGATCACCAAACAAAAACTAAGACCAGAATACGTGATAACAAGAGATCACCAGACAAAACTAAGACGAGAATACAAGATAACAAGAGATCACCAGACAAAACTAAGACGAGAATACATGATAACAAGAGATCACAAAACAAAAACTAAGATCAACTCACTAAGAAACCAAATCAGAAACTAAATAAGAAAAGTTAAAACCACAACATTGGGACAACTACTGTTAATAATTACACACGAAAACAGATCCTAAAGAAGTTTGGACACACATAAAAGGGGTAACTAAAAATAATAGAACAAACCCATAATCAAATCCAACACGATAATAAAAGTTCATACACAAACAAACAGAAAGCAAGTGTTTTTAAAGAACAGCTACAAAAACCTATAAAACACCAGACAAACTAAACATTAATAATCACTTTCTTAACATAGTAAATAATTACGTAAAAAGAATAACCATCTATACACACCCAACTTCAACTCTAACACACCTCACAGTAAAGCCAACAACGCAGGCGAATACGACCACATAACAAAGCAGTTAATGAAACCAATGACAACTGAAGAAGTCACAAGCAACATAAAAACACTCAAAAATAAAGCACCGGGAAAGGAAAAGATACAAAACATACAAATAAAAAAGTTGCCTCCGAGATTGCACAATCACCTAGTAGCATTATTGAATCTGTTTGTCAAATCAGTCTATATACCGACCGCTTGGAAGGAGGTGTAAACCAGCGAATAACCCGGAAAAACTACAAACCTGTCAGTCTAACCAGCTGTATAGGAAAATTGGTGGAAAAAAATACTAAATAATAGATTACTCATTTATCTAGAATTAAGTTCAAAACGACTTTAGAAAATTCCGACAAACTACTGATCACTTAATTAGATTAACAGGGGAAATAATAAACAGCTTTAATAAAAACCACTGTCCGGTCGGATGTTTTCTCGACTTAGAGAGAGCATTCAATAAAATTTGGCACAACGGCCTTAGATATAAATTGTCCAAAATGGGACTTCCAAATGAAATTGTTCGCTGGAGGATAAAATCATCGGAGTAAACGCGGAAGGCATCTTCTTGTATATCTTCACCCCCGAGGCAGGAGTCCCACAAGGAGGAGTACTTAGCTCTACCTTGTTCATCATGTCTTTTAACGAAATGCTTCTAAAAGACTCAAATTTCACACACTTTTCACAGTTTGCAGACGATGTGGCCATTTGGAAGAATGCCAAAAATCCTGTAACAGCATCATACAATATACAACCACTGTTAAACGAAATAGAACAATTCTATAACAAATGGAGGATTAAAATATACACCCATAAAACACAGGTAATGTTATTCACAAAATCAATTAAACAAAGTAGAAAAATCTTCAACTATATCTAGACGGGGCACTCCTCGAATTCGCCACATCTGCCAAATTCTTAGAATTAACTTACGATTCAAAAATAACGTGGAGTAAACATATTAAGAGCATCAAAAATCGGATCGGGGTAATGTGTGTTTTATATATTTTGAGTGCAGTTTCCGCTGAAGCTCCTTGGTTATTACCTGTTAGGCTCGCAACATATCTCACTCTAGGGCCAGTCATAGAATATGCCTGCACGGCATGGTTAAACGTTTCCAACACACAAATAGAACATCGACAGAAAATACAAAACTTAATACTCACAAAAGCCTACAACAAACTTAATCTTTTTACATACATACCGAAACACCCCTCGGTTATCTGACAGACTCCTTGAAAACTCGCTCAAATACTATAAAAAAAAACCCAAAAAACACGTCCTGATGGGCAACTTAGAGAGGTATATCATATATGATAGACAAGATCAGAAGTACCTCTTGCCATTAATTAAAATAAATGCCTCCCCAGTGGCACAGCGGTATGTCGGCGGACTAACAACGCTAGAAACCGGGTTTCGATACTCGTGATGGGCAGAGCACAGATAGCCCTTTGTGCTTAACTACAAACAAAATAAATAATATTATTAAAGCAGCCACTTAGTGATAGGCATTACAGAATTTTTCAAATATATTTATAATTTTATTCTAAAAGGGTTTATTTTAGGTGTACTAAAATAAATTTATTTGTGTATATTACATTATTACTGCAATGGACTATAGCGTGAACGCAGAACTTTGTGTAAACGTATATCAGCGATTTGTGTGTAATTATGTAAAACTGATTATATCAGCTCATAATATGGAGAAGGCCTTAAAAAAAGGCAGTGCGAATTATTATTTACAGACGATAAGTAAATAAATATAGAATTTTGTAAGTATCATCGGAAAATTCTATGTGAATTAAATAACCTAAACACAACATCATTAGCGTAGAGCCCTTGGAGACATCTCACAGTGTAAACCCAACCAAACTACAATGCCAAGATGCAGAAGTTTTAAACAATAAAAAGTACCAAAATCATCTTAGAAGAAAAACAAATTAAACATGATACAACAATAATAATAACAAAGTTTAGAATAAAAACAAATTAAACATGATACAACAATAATAATAACAAAGTGAAGAATAAAAACAAATTAAACATGATACAACAATAATAATAACAAAATGAAAGAGCAAAAATCTACTGTGAAGGGGGAGAGGAAGAGATCCAAGAAAATCTGATCTAAAAATCCGACACAGCGGATGACGCACCAAGAAGAAAGATGTAAATGGATTACTCTTCTTGTTAAAAATCACTCTCTTTTTGTTTTACGACTTGCCTATTGATATTATTTTTTGTTTGGACGTTGGACACACTTTTATTTGTTTTTTACGCTGTCTTTTTATGTGCGAAAAAAACACACGATAAGATCAGAAACGGCCATTGAAACAAAGAACAAAAATGTGTATACCATTAATACGTTAGTTCTACATTTTTTTGTTTATTTACTTAAGCAAGAACAACTAAAGAAGAGATGTACTGTTTATATTATTCGTGCAAATCGTGTACATAACATTGAGGATCAAAATGTCAATGATCCATTTAACTCAGTTAATAACATGCCATACAACAATCCTTATTTAGAATATAAGTTATAATATCAACTATAGTTCTAAATCGGATCTTTTAGATGGTGGATTTTCCATGGCTGAGAATGTTTTACAGTATCTCTCATAAAATACAACCAGTATGACAATCCTACACAACTATTCGTCTGTCTTATCACACTAGCAAGATTACAATCAATACTTCCAAGTTTTCTGCTATCACATAAAACACGCCAGTATGTGCATGTATGGAGTTCTGAGTTACCTTTTCCAAACCACAGTGAATCTATATTTAAAGAACATGTAGCATTAATATTACTAATTTATTCTTCTAAATTATTCAGCAGACAAGCTGTTTAAAATACTAAAAATACATGTGAAGCCCAATCTATCATTCGATTCACTACTTGTCATTGAGTTTTACCGGTTTGAGGTATAACCAGTGTAGATATTGAAGATCTAAACTTCGTTACTAGATTAAGTAGAAAAAGGTAAAGAGGAAGTTAAAGCTTAAAAAGATTGATTAAAGATTTTATCCAAGAATGTTTTTGAGCCCATTTTCCATGTTAATCTACTAGCTGTTAACCCTATAAAGTTATGAAAGGATTATCGCATTTTATAAGAATGATTTACATATGCTAATACAGTGACTTGTGCCGCAGGTGCAAGCAGTGGCGCCATGGCGACTTGTGTAAGTCTATATATTTGGTTCACGGCAAGTTCCTTACCATTCAAAAGTGCAACTCAAACTGATTTTTTTTCACCTTTGTTCAGTGTAAAATGGTTTGAAAAGCCAACGTTCTTGCACAGTGGAAAGTCTGTAGACAGTTTGTGAAGACGTGTGTTCTAAGGTTGACCTTTTCCAAGAAGCTCGTTATCATGGACTGTAATGGAGAAAGCAGTTCAAAGATTAGCAGGGAACCGGAAACACCTTTATTATAAAGTGCAATTAACCCTCTGTATTAGAATAACTAACCAGTAATAGGTGAGAAATTTCATTTTCAAGAACTAATATATATCCATTTGTTTTAGTTAA